CCTGGGAAGGCTGAACAGATGACATAAGAGAACACAACTAAAACACAAATCTGAAAATCCAAAGAACACAAAACACTAATAAAACACAATGTCACACTCAGTCACAGTTCATTGGTCTTCCTACAGGATAATGACTAAAAAAACACCCAAGAATAGCTAAGAATGGAATTATTCTGAAGTGGCCTTTTGAGCCCTGATCTAAACCCTGTTGAACATCTAGATCATATGTGTCAAACTCAAGGCCCGGGGGCCAAATGTGGCCCTCGTTGACATCTTATCTGGCCTTCAAGATGATATCTGAAACGTAAAATATTCTATCTCTTGAATTTTTTTTAGGAATTTTTGATTATGATGTCGAAAGCACAACAGAGAACATCAAATGAGACCAATCAAACTCTTGTTGAGGAACCTGTGACCAAGAAAAGATGTTGGGTATCTGAGTTGAGTTCATGTAGATTCTGAAATTGTCCCTTAGTTTGAAAATTAATTTTGGCCCCCTTTTGTAAGTAAGTTGGACACACCTGGTCTGAAACACGCAGTCTGAAGACACCCTTTCAAACCTGAGACCGCTGGAGCAGTTTGCTCCCCAGAACATTTTAGATTTTTCTTTCTTAACAAAAGGGCACACACACATTTTCCTTCTTTGTATGTCATCCATGGAGACGTCTGGAAGCTAAACTCTGTATGCCATGGGTGGGAATAGTTGCTGGTGGACTAACAACTCTAATGCCTCACTGTTGGCAAGCTGGAGTAAACTCCTCAGTGTTATGAACCTCTATAGAAATCACTTGTCAGCCATCCAATCAGATCAAGCAATGGTGCAGGTTCTCTGCATGCACAGAATCCAAGGGTTCGACCTCAATCTGTCACAGCCCATCACAGGTCCTGACACACGTTTAGAAATGGAATTCCCCAAAGTTTGTGGCACGACGGGGCCTTAAACAAACCAAAATCTCCATGAGACTGCTCACTTTTAACACATTAACAACAAACTGTTATTTAATGACTGTATGGTTTGGCAGAGGATCGCTTCCCTTTGACTCACACGCTCCGGTTCCACAGAGCTTGAAGGGTTTACCGAGCGATCACATGGTTTGGAAAGAGAGCGGCCATTATTCTTGTAACTTAAAAAGAGTTGAGTTGCTGTTGCATAATCTTCTTTCCATCCAAGAGGGATGCTGTTGGCATTAAACGCAGTTACCTTGGTGAAAGCTAAAAGGCCCTTCTTGAATGAATTATTTAGTTTATGTAACCAGTTGAGACAATTTTTTGCTTTAACTAATTTAAGACTCCTAAAGAGTCCTCTAGTTCTGCCTGTGTAGTCAAGAAGGTAAAAATATCTCCAAGTACAACAATTAGTTTGTGTTACCTGCTTCCTTTTTGAAATCAACACAATAAAACAGACTTGTTTTCTTCAATTCCACTCTTTTCTTTGTCTCTGTTTGAAACAAGCTTTGTCTTATAGGCGTCTCTTCACTGAACTGGAACGCTTCAGGCATTGAACCAAATCCTCTGGCAAAGTCAGCTCTTTTGTGAAGTGTGGTAGGATTTTACTTTTCTCTCCATGTTGTGCAGCAGGAATTCAGCAGCGTTACGTTTTACAACAGTAGCTGAAGTTAGCCAGCCGTTTTGCTAACTTTTGAGGGAGAAAGTTAGCAGAGGATGCAGTCCAGTTTTGTTTGTGCTTTCCAATGTTTGGTGGTTTCATCAGGAACATGACTTGCAAACAGGAATCTCATGCATGTGGGAGAGTGAATAAAGCAGACAAAAGTGTTTCTGAATTAAAGGCTTAGCAATCCTGGAAGGAATACGTGTCACCCACCACCTTTCATGCCGGAGTTTTAAACTTGAAAGGAAGGGAATTGCAGCTGTTTTGAACAAACCTTGAAAAAACACAAAAAACAAAACCTTCTGTGCAACTTATTCAATATTGCAAGATGTCACACTCAGATTATGTTTTGTGAATTACTCTCAGCTACAGTCATATCATACTTTAGCTCAGTATCTGTAAAAATAACTGGGTTATAATCACTTTGTTTTGTAAGTGCAGCCATCTTAAAATGGGTTGAATCCAGGGGCGATTCAAGAATCTGACCTTTTGGGGTGCTCAGCCCCGAGTGCTGACAATGGCTCTCAGCTTGAACAATACAGTGGCCACTGGCATCAGAAGCATTTGTAATGTGTGTGTGTGTGTGTGTGTGGGTGGGTGGTGGAAAATTTTGAATAAAGTAGATGCCATTTCCTGCATTTTGGTGCATTTTAATGGGTTTTTAAACATCGTTGTTTACCTACATAAGTAAACACTTGATTCAATAACTGTTTAGAGAGCTCGGCACAACAAGAAGTAGCGCTAAGCTAGCGGCACGTAATACAGACACGTTAAACACTGGGGCCCAGATGGGGTAGATGTAGGGCAGCCTTTGGACCAGAAAGTTGTGGTTCGACTCCCAGCCATTCCTACATGTCGTGGTGTCTGAGCAAGACACCTAATTGCTCCCTGGATGCGTACATAACTGCCCACTGCTCCACCTGGGTATATCTCAGGTGTGATGGGTTAAATGCAGAGAAATAATTGCGTTATTGTATGGTAGCATACAATGATGACAATCTCAGACTTTCAAGACTAAACTTATGCAACCAGAAGTTGCAACATATATTTACATATAAAACACACAAATCAAAGCACAACTAGCTTTAAGCATTACCTGTACTTAAACCATTAAACATGCAATGTACTGACAATAAATGGAGGATTTACTTGCAGTTACCTTTGTACAGATCTGTTTATCACTGTTGTATTCAGCTGCTCATGAGGTCGGTCACAGGTCTTTATCAGCTTTTACATTTTTCCAGATTCCACTCAAGTTTTGGAAATGGAAAAAAAAATGTAGTACATCTTCTAAACTCTCAGGGTAACACTGTTTGCATTACATGTTCTCCACTGACAACGTTTAAACATTTTTTGATGATTTTTCACAAAATGCCTCTGAATGTAAAACATTCATAAAGCAAAACCCTGACAAAGTTGTCTGAGGAAAAAGGGGTGGAGCTCCTGCAGGTAAGGTTCACTTCGGGACAAAATGAGATCAATGATTGGTCAGCTGCTGACAAGCTTACTGGATTGATTGACAGGTCGTGTCAAGGATCCGACTCATGCAAAAAAAAAAAAAAA